CACAACACACACACACACACACACACACACACACACACACACACACACACACACACACACACACACACACACACACACACACAGGGAACGACGAGCTGACGTGATTCCAAGACTTTGTACATGCCAGAAGTTTTTATTTTAATTTCAGCGCTAACTTTTTGGGACGAGTTAAACTGCGCTCTAACCCATTGCCCCCCCGAAGCAATGCACCCCGGCTGTGTGAGAACATTTCAGCCCGCTCGTCGGAGATACCGCCATCAATAGGGACACTGTAAGCGTCATCTGTTCTGGGAAAAAGTCGCAATGTTCTTATTTTGCCATTAGATGTCACTATTGCCATTCTGATATCCTTTAGTCACAACAATCAATTGCACGAAAGTTTAGTGCAATTGATTGTTGATCACGATACCACCTAGCGGCTAAGCACTGTAAGCAGCAGCAGCCAAATATTCCAGACACAAACGAAATGAAGCGTTGAAAAAAAAATAAAAAAACCTAACCTGGTTTTAAAAAGTACTTCAAACAAACCAAATTGGAAAAAAAAAGAAAAAACCAAAACAACCAAAAGTCAAAGTGAAATTAAACCAACCCTAATGAAACATCCCAAAGTATTGTCAACATGTCGTGCTGGTCTATTTCTTTTTGGTTTGCTTAAAAAGTTTCCCGTCAACACACAAACATTTCAGAAAAAGATGCTCCATCGCTGCAACATGTATTCCAGGCCTGAAGTGGTACTGTAACGCTGCCACAGGAAGTCCCCCAAAATAAAGAAGAAGCAGCCCGTGACCCAAGGGAAGCGTTTTAAAATTCATTCACTTGGAAAAAAAAAATCGTGTTGGGTCAATTTGGAGGAAAGTGCTCAAAACTCAAATCAAGTGGTTTGCATGTGGAAAGCGTCTCAAGCTTGCTCACCTTCAGGAGCAGGCGAGACATCGACCACGCGGAGGTGGGGGCTCGGCGTTGGCGCCAGACACACGTCTTTTCCGAGGGCCGGGACCTCGGGCAGGGTGAAGGCGATTTCGTAGCGGTGTTGTGCCTTCAGGAAGCCCAACTGCATGCAGACGGATGGGGCGGCCCGGTTGCAAAGAACAAAACAAGGCCCCAGGTGATTTGGGGCGCCCGTGACTGTGCTGAGCTTTGCCGTCCAACGCAAGAGATCAAATGGCCATCAAAGTTTCATCGAACCGTCCCTGCGGCGGCGAGGTTAGCGTCACCTTCACCAGGAAGCTGCCGTCATCCTCCGCCGTCACCATGACGACAGAGTCGTGCAGCTTGTCGTCGAAGCGGACGTGGGACGGGGCGCCGGCCAGCGGGGCTTCCTCCGAGAAGCGAACGCCTCCCGCCTTGGCGGAGCCTGAAAAAACAAACGCAGAAAAATAAAAGAAAGGGATCAGGACTGTGAAAGCAAAGAGAATTACACACTGCACGCAAATTTAAGTAAACCACTTCAAACTATTTTCCAAAAGACTAGCTTAATGCTAACACGTAATACAGAACGCCATAGACGGGCTAAGGAAACCAGCATCGCGTCAATTGTGTTGACGGGATGCATTCCGACATCTTTTGTTTGGATGCAAAAGTCAAACTAAACAATTGAGATCATGTAGTTGCACAAGTGTTCACACCCCATGACTGGGGATGTGGCAGTGCTCACAATGAAACCGTTTCATTCAAATTCACGTAAAATCGGAGTCAGGACATACTGGCCGCCATTTAAACGCCGTCTGATTAACAACAAAATCAAGGTCAGATGTTCGAACGGACTTTTCCTGTCCCATTTTTCTTTGCAGCTAACGTCTGAAAATTTGGTACGAGCACTGACTTGTGTTTGGAACTGTTCATAATTCACAGACAGGCTTCTGCGGATTTCCATGACTAATATTGGTCACTTAATAGTAATTCAATTAATAACAATGACATAAAAATAGGATGAATTATTTGATCATATACTATTTTACAAACGCATCTTGCATTATTAGTCTTTTTCTTGCTTTCTTCAGCACCGATGACCCGTCTGATCTGTAGCACTACCCAAAGTTTCCCCCCCCCCCCCCCCAAGCACACATGGCCCACTGAACTGGTTTATTTCAGATGAATCTCTCTCGACATCTGCCCCTAATCCAGGGCTGCTTTACAGCTACAATCTCTCGTCGAACACACCATAAACTACCAACACAATCACACTTGTTTGTTGTCTGTTGTCTTAATGGCTGAGCATCACTTTGAAGTACACACAATATAGTTTGGTGGGATGGAGAGGGGGCGGGGGAGAAGAGAGAGAGAGAGAAGCTGCTGCTAATTTCTGTTAGCTCTTCTCCGGCATTTTCCCATTGTATCTTTGTTGAACGAACGTCAAATGAACATTTGCTGCGAATGTCTTATGTTGTGTGTTCTGTTAGCCGTTAGCAATCTACCTATATCTCCCAATCAGAAAAAATGTCCTGCATATTTCAGCTTTTGGGTGATATTTCAGGATCAACCCCCCCCAGGCCCCCCCCCCAAAAAAAACTATTCAATGTTTCCATGTTTTTTGTACAACTTTGTGTTCGCTTACAAGGAGCCGAGCCAAGTGGATTTTGGCTTCCATTTTCTTATTCGAGACGAGCATGTTTTGCAAATTGAATAAATAAATAACAATAATCATACAGGTGCATCATTGGTCTTGAAAGATTAGGCAATGACAAATTAAGTTCCTCTCCAAAGGTTATATATTAATAGTCATTAACTTTTTGCTGAAAACTAGATACTGTATCTCCAGCTATTTGTGAGTGATGAATGCTAATGCAGGTTGGAAAATATGACGGAGGAGTGCCTGTTCTAATCCATCGGCGTGGGATGCGGTCACCCTGACGTGACACGCGTCCATTCCGTAGAGTGCCGACCAAGTCGACGGATAGAACCTCGGCCCACAGGTGGGAGGCTACGCGGTCGACACTCACTCCTCATCTTTGCGGCGGCGGCGGCGGCGGCATCATCCATGATCCCGGGAGCGAGGTGGCCACTCTGTGTCACAGCCTGGCCATCGACGCGACGGCGTCTCACTCTGGAGCAGGAGACAAAAAAAAAAAGAAAAGAAGCAGTGATGAAATGGTGGAACGAGAAGCTAGCGAGCTAGTGTGCCCGTCGACCGGGAGCCAAGATGTGCTGCCAGTGGAGCAAAACAAGTCAATAAGAGGATTAGCAGGATGGTCCCATATCATCATCTGGCTCTCATCATCTGTGATTCTACAGGAAATGATCAAATATTGCGTCAGTGGTCTTAAGAGTGCCCCACTACTATGGGCAGAACGAGCCAACTGTTCATAATATGATCCATATGAGGGTACTTGAGGGTTTTATTTTTCCTCTCGTGAACATTCATCTCCGAGAGATCCGTTATTCAACCGAATCCATTTGCTGGAATTTCACGAAACCCAAACCCGGTGATAGAAAAGGGCTCGGATTTTATTGAATGTGAGCGTTTATTGTGAAAGTTACTCGACACTCGCTACATTTTACACAACAGCGAGGGAACAAAAACGAATCTAGTATTTTTTCTGTAACTCACAAACGCTGAAATAAAAAAAAAGGCTCCTTTCCAAGTTATTGATTAAGAATACAAGCGGGGGTCGGGTACATTTCTAAACCCCGAGAGGTCATGAAAATTCATTCCGTTTGAGAAAGTTCCTGACAGAACGATGTTGACGATGAAGACGAAAAGGCGACACTGGCCCGGTATTTACTTGGCAACAACCAGTCAAGTATTGCATACAACGCCTTCACACTACAACTGAGTGAAAAAAGACAAACAAATAAACAAGCACGCTGGGAGCATGAGACCCATTTCGTGTACATTGTAGAAGCTCGGAAATCGGGACGACGCCGGTGAGCCAAGCTTCTCATACAAACACGGGCAGCAAGTCTCGACTTACATCCGTCGCACAAGCGAAAGCTGAATGTTGTTGTTCAAGTACGCAGCTGCCCTTACAAGCAGCTTTTTTTGTGTGTGTGTTTTTCAGTAGCCCAAGTTCAGCTCGGCTCCTCACGCCCCTCGCTTCGCCATTTCCGCGTTGAGTCACGTGGCTTGTCCTGTGAAATAGGTACATGGCGCCACCCGCTGGCGACTTTTGTCATCGCCTGGACGGATGTTTGGTGACGTCACGAGAAACTGGTGGCAGCGACTTTCTCCAACAAAAAAAAAAACCCAATTTATTTAGACTCACTCACACACACCCAGCAGTTGACTTACCACGTCAAGCGGTGTAGTAAGGTAGGTTATTGTGTCGAATAATTGTGGGGGGGGGGGGGTAGAGAAGAAAAAAAAACAGCACTCACATCTCCACACTTTGGTTTGTTTTTTTTTTTTTAATTCTTGCCATGATTGCAAATGACCCGGCACGTTTACAGCAAAAAGGAACAGTGAGGTCACACGGTCAACACGTGCACACGCCACTTTCACCGAGCCTTGAAATCACACGGATCCTATTTAGAAAGGCATGCAGTTGTTATGTTCAAAACACATCATGGCCGTCGCTCGCTGCTTGAAGCCGCACAACAGCCACATGGCAAGCTGAACATTGAAAGGTAGTTTGCAAAACGCCGAAGTTTTGTTCCGCTCGCAGCCGTCCAGTCGCAGCTTCCAGTCGCTTGCCGACTTCCCAAATGACGTGCCAGTGCCCGCGAGTCGCGCTTTTCCATTTGCCGAAGACTCGACATCCAGTTGCTGAAAAACTCGCCCGCAGCCGTGTTTTCGGGGGGCGGGAGCGGTTTGCGTCGACTCGCTGACAACCAAATAGTAAAGTGATGAAGAAGAACCCCACTCGCGCCGCGTCATGCGAAGAGAAAGAAGAAAAACACCCAGCACATTGGAAAAGGCGGCTGAGCCAAATTTGCTATCGAGGGCGGCGGACAAGCACGACAAGGACAAAGGCACACTCGGAGGACCGCCGGGTCTTACCGTTAGCGTTTTTTCCCAGGACCGATACCAAGTATCCGGTTGATACGGGTCTTATTCCAAAGTATCGGGTACTCATGAAGACGACCAATATCAGTTAAAAAAAAAAAAACGAGCCGGTGGTTGGCGCTCAACCTAACAACACATCAGCGAATCCGCATATGCATCAGAAAGAACGACAAGGATTTGTTGGCGATTATCTGTCATGAAGTTAATCGAAGTTTTATGCGTCCAAAGTACCAACGGTATCGCCGAGTACTCATACTGGCATTGGTGTGAAAAAAAAGGTCTCGAGCAGTTCTTGACCATCAAGTTCAACCCCCACCCCAGCAGACAAAAAAAAAACAACTGCTCGCTTTGTGCTCATTTTTTCTCTCTGCGTCGACCAAGAACGCTCTGCTTGCAATTCATTTCTTTGCCGCGATAAGCGACCCCCAAAAGAAGTGATTTCATATCGTCCGTCCATCCACGGCCCGATCCGCTTTCTCCTCACGAGGGTCGCGTGTGCGCCGTAGCCTGTTCCAGCCGTCTTCAGGGAGCAGGCGGGGGGCCGCCCTCGCCAGCCAATCGCAGGGCACGCGTGGAGAAACGCGAACCGCTCGTGCTCACGCTCACACCTCGGGACAAATTGGAGCGCTCAATCAACCTGTCGTGCATGTTGTTGGAATGTGGGAGGAAAGCCCAGGACCCGCAGAAAAGCCACGCAGGCGCGGGGAGAACATGCACACCCCGCACGGGGAGGCCGCATTCCGTTCATTCCGCTGCACCTATTTGGAATTCAAGTGTTGGTACTCGCTTGTGCCCCCGCCCCCGCGTTAGTGCTCGTTTGTGTTTTTCGTGTGGAAGGGTGACGTTTGTTCCGCTCGTGTGCCAAGTTGTCTTACGAGTGCCTGGAAACATCGCCACTCGACTCGGTCCGACATTTGGCCCGCCATCACGACAGGCGTCGTGCGGCGGCTCACCAGAGGCGGCGCCGTGGACCCGCCTACAGTACGAGGAAGCTGCAGCTGGAGGATGCGGCAGAAAAGTAAGCGAGCGAGCGGCGTCTCCTTGTCAAAAGTCCCAAGCTGAAGACTTTGGCGCGGAGGTCTCGGAGCGGGTGGGCCGGCCTTCTCCGGATGCGGTCCCTCCACGAGACGAACGGAAGCCTCCGGTGGCAGCGGCGCTCCCGTTCTGTTTGACGGCATGTTGCGAGCGCCCCCTCACTCGCCGCAGGCGTGAGTGGCTTCCATCCTCTCGCCCGCCCGCCCACCTCCTCCTCCGCTTCCCACTCACTCCTCGCACACCGACTCGCTCAGGTCCACGGCCCCCCCTCTGGTGAGGCGCCGCATCTTGCTGAAGTCGTGGTCGGTCCTCAGGTAGGAGAGGGAGGGGCCTCCCTCGCTGTGGCCCGCCAGGTCTTGGGGCTGGGCCTGAGGCGGCAGGGCGCGCATCTCGCCGCCGCTGCGCCAGTACAGCGCGTACTGCTGCGGCTCGGACACGCCGAAAGTGGCGGCGCACAGCTGCGCCAGCGCCTGGCTGCTCTCTCCCGCTCGCCACTGCAAGGTCCGCACGGCGCTCCGCTCCCCGTCCTGGAACAGTATCCGTACGCACCTCTGCAAAAGGGTGGGGGTGAGAGAGGTGGTGCACAAATCACACTTAGCGATCGAGGAGCGGGTGGCGTGGCTTGAGCGGCCGGCGCCGAACCCGGACGGCGACGTCAAACCGTTCGGTCAACCGGGATTAGATGAACATACGCTGAAATCCTTCCATCCATCTTCCGAACTCAGGAGGGTCGCGAGGGGTGCCGGAGCCTATCCCCAGCGGTCTTCGCGCAGTAGGCGGGACTGAACCGGTTGCCAGCCCATCGCAGGGCGCACAGAAACGAACAAACCGTCCGCGCTCGCGCTCACGCCGAGGGACCATTTTTGAGAGCGTTCAATCAGCCGGCCGTGCATGTTTTTGGAATGTGGGAGGAGGATAATACCCGGAGAAAAGCCACGCAGGCACAGGGAGAACCTGCAAACGCCCCACAGGAAGGCCGGAGCCGGAATGGAACCCCGCACCTCTGCGCCGTGAGGTGGACGCGCTAACTCCTGGCACACCGGCTTGCCAAGAAAAGCAACAAGAGCCCTTCTCCGCCCCTTCTTCTCGGGTCGCTCCAGCCGACGCTGCTCGGCGGAGCTCGGTGCCGGTCGCCATCTCGCCGCGCAAAGCGGGACCGCGCGGCGAGCGGCCAACTCCAAACTCGGATTCGCCAAAGGAGCGCTCGCAAAGAGGAAGCGTCACGGCTTCATCACGCACCCTCGAACCTCCCCCCCCGTTTCCTTTTTTGGAAGCAAACGCGCTCGCAAACGTCAACAGGTCCAACTTACAGAGTCAGCCGGCTCGTCGCTGTCCGCGTGCATCTTGTGTTTGCCTGCTGGGATGCGTGGCTGCAGCTCGATCAATTTCATGTTATCTGACCGCCCACTTCCTCATGGCGCAAACCTCAGCGATCGCCCGCCCGTGTCGGAGCGCAATCTGGCTGCCGGCTCGCTCGGAAGGGCTATTTGAAGCCCGCGCAAGGCACCACGTGACCGCACGCAAACGTGGCGCTTGACAATGCCTCTTTTTTTCTTTTTCCTCTCTCGCTCTCTCTCTCTTCCATCCGCTGGGCCCAACGCGGTGTGAGAACAGGTGAAAGTGTGAGTGTGTGTGTGTGTTGATGCACATCAGCGGATTACCTTTCAAAACGAATCCCTGCAAATGAATTTCAAGCGTGGTTACAAAAGCCGGCGGGGGACCAGCCGGGCGTCAGCAAACGAGGGCCGACTCCGGTTTCAGGAGCGGACTTCTCCCAAAGTTGGAACGGCCCCGAAGCTACAATCTCCAAAGTCCCCCAAAAGGGCTGAAGTCGCGAACCCGGCGCCGGGACCGATGCCGCAATGAGGATCGGACCCACCCGGCACGTCAAAGCCCCCATCTCCGTGTGCTCGGTCAGTGGCTGGCGACCGATGTCGTTGAAGCACGTGATCGGAACTTTACTTCCAACTTCTCGAGCTAAGCTGCCGGGTGAAGACCATGAACCCTTTGAACCCCGCCAAGGTTTGGCTTGGGGTCGAAGGGTTCCCGCCACAAGTGAGAGAGGGCGGCCGCGATTCCTGTGCCGGGCCCTACCTGGCCCCGCAGGTTCTCCTTTTGCTCCTGAGCTTGGCGGCTTCGCCTGCGGCGCCACCGTTCCAGCGCCTCCCGGGCCTCGGGTGGAAGGAAACCCGAGACGGGCCGGTCCCGGTCCCGGTCCAGGTCCAGGCTCTGGATCAGATGCAGGCTGGCGAACGCGCCGGTCAAGTGGGAGCCGCCTGGAAGCGGACGTGCGGCAAAGTCAAGTCGAGCGAGCGGCGAGTCGAGCGCGCGGCGTTCCGTCGGGCGCTGACCTTCACCGCCCAGCCAGGACGGCTCCAGCAGCTCCATCATGTACTCCACCTCCATCGGGATGCGAGGCCAGTTGGACTCCACCAGCACGTAGGCCAGCGACGGCAGGAAGTCGTCCCAGCTCACTTCCTGGCCTGCCGACAAGCAAACACTCCAGGTTTCAGGGCTCGCGACCGCTTTCGACCTCCCCGCGGGAATTCATGGGACCCGATCGACTTGGAATTGACAGCCCGCGGGTGCCGAGCGGGCGTCTCTCACCGAGCGGCGCGCCCAAGGCCTTCTGCACGCACTTGCAGACCTGCAGCAGCAGCAGCAGCTTGTCGACGGGCGAGTGCGCGCGACGCATCAGCGCCAGCTTGCGCTTCACCTCGCCCACCTGCCGCCCGTCGGGCACGCCGGCGCGCAGGCCCAGCCGCTCCGCCGCGCCCTCGCCCCGCAGCCGCGAGAGGCTGCGGCTCAAGCGCCGGCTGGATTCGTCCCGCCGGTGGAGCGTCACGAGGGCTTTGTCCAGGTGAGCGCGCAGGGGCCGCAGCACGCAGGAGAACATGGCGCGCTCCAGGGCCACTTCTGCCAAAAAAAAACAAAAGAACGCTTGGAATTCCGCCTGTGCGTTCCTCCTTCTTGCATTCTGTACTCATGCGGAAGGAAGTACACGTTCTGGGGTCAAAATGAAAAAGACACGTCCTGCACTTAAGTCAAAGTACAGGTACTGAAATGAACTTTGAGACCTGAACGTTTACCTGCAGTACCTATTTTGGTCACCTCACATGAGGGGGGGGGGGGCGATGCTCCCATAACACAGCCGACGTCGTAAACAGGCCATCGGGGTGCACGTGTCACAAGTACAAGTAAGAAGTCATCAGGAAGGGATTGCTCAAGTCAAGTCCAAACAGAAAACCCGCCGACGGACCGCAGGCAAGACCTGGTGCCGCCATTCTCGGCACGTTTGTTTCTCTTTCTCGCCCGTGTCCATCTGTAGCTGCCTTACAAATATGGAAAGCGACTCCATCTTTCCACTGTAGCGATGCCGCCCCGCAACTCTGCCCACCCCCCCACCACATCCCTTTTGAATCGTGCGCTCTCCATGCACGCGTGGGCCTGTGAGATCTTTTTATGATAAACGAGAGAGAGCGGGGAAAAAAAAAAATGCAAATGGCTCCCACCAACGCAAAGGCAGATCACTCCGAGCGCAGGAAGGAAGGAAGGAAGGACGGCGAGCGGCCCGGCGATCCCCGCAGAAGTCCGCGCACTGCCAGGCAACACGCGTGCACGCACATCCACGGAAGCCCACGCACGGGGCCGTGTGACTTTCCCAGCTTTGATGGATGCACACACGCGCGCGCGCGCGCGACCGAACAACAGGAGTGCCGGCGGCGCCTCGGATGCCTTTACCTCTCTCGTTCTCCGGCACCAAAGTTTCAATGGGAGGTTCCAGCTCGCCGCTTTCCAGTAAGCAGCGCTTGGCCTGGGACAGGAAGAGGCGCACGCCCTGCAGGAGTTGCACGGACGTCACCTGCGGGGAAGCGCCGCACGGGGCGGCGGCCAGCGATTCCAGCGAGGCCGCGTGAGCCGAGAGGAAGTCCTGGACCATCCCTCCGAAAACCGAGCGCCTGTCCCGGGACAGCTCCTGCACCAGTCGCGCCAGACGCTTCTCCGGAGCAAAGAAACACACCAAGGCCTCGCTCATGCGCTGCGGCCGCCGCCGACCCCGACTTGGGCTTTGCGGCCCGCCCTCCCCGTCCGAGTCGGGATCCCGATCGCTTTCCTCATCCAGACTGCTGAAGGAGCTGTTGCTATCCAGCTCGGCCAGAGACGGAGCCGGACGGCGCTCCGAGGCCAGGAGAGCCACTTGAATGGCCGGCAACTCATCTGGGAACGACTGCCGGATGTCGGGACGGGGGTCCGCCTGAAGCAGAGTACACACACACACACACACGCTCTTGTGGCGATATTGATGATCAGATTTCCCCAAAAAGATGATCCTCAGCCTGCGTCCTGTGTTCGAGAGCAGCGGTCGGCAACCTTTTTCGCCCCGCGGACCGCTTTCATGTCAGACAGTATTTTCAGGGACCGGCCTTGAAAGGGCGGATCAATACAACAAAATAATATGATAGGACCTGCATGAAAAGTGTGGTATTTTCGAAACATAATAAACACATATGACACGAGGAAGGTCCTATCTGGCCGCAAGGCTCTCTGGTCGCTATGGCAACGTTTGAAGATGCCTTCAAAATAAGATAGACCGCAGATAAAAAGTGCTTGAAAAATACGGGCGGGCTTGGTACGTGGGAATCTCCCGTTGAAATAAATCCCGATTTGAAGTCGGACTCTTCAATTTAGCCGTCGTTTTCTTGGAAGTCAAAGGCTCCTCTTCTGTCTCCTGCCTGGGCCTTTTCCCTTTCGCGGAGACGTTTTTGTTTGACTCATTTTGCTCGTTCTCGTGTTTCATTTTTTGCCGTAACCGAGAAGCGCGCCCTGACCTGCGTCGAGTGTGATATACGCTGTAGACGGAGGTAAGAGAGAATCCGATCATTTTTCAAAATAAAACATCTTTCCGACTCCAAAATGAAGAAAACGCCCTTTGTCAATGCTGACGCAAGGTTTCGTCGTCATTCCGGCCTCAATTGAAGGAATAAATTGTTCTACCACGAAGAGGTGAAGCACATCGGTGCTCGTCTCTCCCGGTCTCAATGGAAAATCTCGAGTCCGGCCAGTCCCAGACCAAGACTTTTGGGGAGGGGGTCCGAGACCAGTGCATTATGACGACTAGTATTTATTTATTTTTGGGGGTCGAGAGAATCTTACTTGAGGCGCCGGCGCGGCCATAATGTCGTCTTCCTCGGACCTCGCCGCCACGGCAGAGGTTCTCCTCAGGACCCCCGCCCCGGCACGAACTCTCCTCTGGGGATCGGAGTCGGGCGGCCTCTCGGGCCCGCCGGGCATCTCCGCGGACGGAGGCGGGGAGTGGGACCCCGCGCCCTCGAGGGACAGATTGACGGAGGACCCGGACAGGCGGAGGCACATGCTCCGCTTGAAGCGTCGTCTCTTGTTGGAGGCGCTGCGGTCCTGGAATTCTGACTGCTGCGGGAACGGAAAAGACGGAAAAGGCAGCCTGAGCTCATCGTCGGCGGTTCCGATTCACAGCGTTGCGAGCTCGTGAGGGGCTGATGACTTGAAGAACTAACCAGACTGACCGGGGAACCGTCTCTTAGCCTAAGTCAACGGGGATCAGTTCCAGACCGGGCCAACCCACCTTCCGGACTTCCGGCCGCAGGAAGAGAGGGTTTACGAAGCACAGTTTGCCTCGGCCGGCGCGGCCCCGAAGCCGGCGTCGGTCCGAAGCCGCCGCCGCCGCCGCCGCCGCCCGGGTCGGGCTGCCGCTCGGCGATGCCGGAGGTCCGTTTTGAAGCTCCGAGGCGCTCGGAGAGTTCCAGAAGTCTGCGCGGAGGGCAGAAAGAAGTTCGGCTTTCGGATTCAACGGGAAAACGGCGCCGTCGCCGGAATGACAAGTGATGACCACACGGCGGCGGCGAGGCGCACCTCGGCCCATGTGCGAGATGGCCTCCAGCTGCCTGCGCGTCGTGGCATTGGCGATGGCATCCGGCAACTGAAGAGGGAAAGGCAAGACGTCCCTGCGCGCAAAAACATCCGAGCGTTAGCTTAAATGGCGTTGCGAAAGATTCGTTCAAAAACGTTGACAAGAAGTGCAGGATTCGGGCAAGACGTTTCCCGAGATGTCTCGTGGCAAGTGAAACTGGGCTCTCCGTCTGACGCGATGCTCTGCGACAACCGTTCGGTGGAGCGAAGCGGACCTGCTGACGCAGTAGAAGGCCACCAGGCGACACAAGTCCGGGAAGCCGAGCGCCGAGCTCTCCAAGGCGAAGGCTGGCGGCAGAGGAGGCAGAGTTGGAGCGAGCGGCTTCCCCCGGCGTCGCGCGCGGCGTCGGGGGAAGCCGCGCTCACCGTAGTCTTCCTCGCAGATGGGGCACTCCTTCACAGAGGACCGAGTCCCGTCCGCCGTCACCCTCACGCAAAGGAGCTTCCTCTGGCTCGAGCCGCACTTGCGCACCAAGAACGTCTGCAAGGAGACCGATGTCACCGATCGGCGCGCGGACGGTGAGCGCCGATCGTCAAGACTCTTTCACGTGAATTCCCTGACGGCCACTTTGACCTGCATCGCCTAAAAGGCATCTTCCAGCGTCGCCGCGATTTACACAACAGCTCGGTGTCGTGAGTCAAATTCGCCAGCGACGTCATTTGTTCTTCAAGCGATCCTTTTTTACGTTGGAGCACAAAGCAACCAACTAACTAGGAAGGACGACGCGGATGCGCTCACAGATCGGTCATGCGCCACCGTGCTTAAAAAGAAAAAAAAAACCTAAACCCTGATGTGGATTTGCATGCGGAACCTCCGGAAGGCCGTTAGCCGGCAAACCGGTGACTAGCGCCTCTCGCGTGGAAAGCGCCGCAACGACTCGGTGAGAGTTTCTTTTGACTTGACGGTGACTTTTAACGGAGGTGAGCGGTGCCCGAGCAAGCTCACGCCGACGGGCTCTCTCAGCAGAATGTAGAGGGCCGAGTCTTGCTCCAGAGACAGCTGAAGCCACACCGGGTGTGTTAAGAGCAGACGATCCAGGACGCTAAAGCCCGGCTGAGCGGCGCCCGCCTCCTGCATCTGGAACAAACAAACAGATGGATCACGGCCGCGCGCGCTCCCTCGTTCCCGACCGAGCGAGCGGGCTCCCTCACGCGAGTCGCCGCCGGTCTCTGGGGGGGGGGAATTTACCCAGACCAGCGACTCGGGTTCTGTCCTACAGTCGACTAGTCAGGTTGACCCCACATTTGAAAACAGACACCTGAACTTTGGCTTTCTCTCGCTCTTTCGTGATCTTGGTGAACCAGGGGCCTTCGGCTTTGCTCAAGATGAGCGCAGGCAGACGCACGCGATGAACTCAGCACGGCTTTTATTGTCAGGAAGAGGCGGGACGCAAAGCAGGCAGCAGTCAACGCTTGCAGAAGGCAAGGAAATAACATCAAGAGCTTGTACAAAAAGACAAGAAAAAAATCAAAAGTCCACCATGAATAAAAATACAAACGCAAACGCGACTTACAAAACAGGATAAACCGCGACGTGGACAAACACGCACACACACAAAAAAAAAGCCCCCCCGGCATGAACAAGACACAAGCGTCTGGAGAATAAGCACTCGGCGCGAGCAAGTTGTCGACATCGCAGTCCTCGAGGAGGTTGTCCGCAAAGGAGAACGTACGACAGGTGCGGCGCCGGAGGCAACGCCCACCGCTCCCGACCGCAAACTGAAGCCGAAACAAACAACAAGCGAAGCGCGTCTCAAACGGTATCGCTTGAGCGAAGCGGTCGAATCGGCGCTTCGACCGGGCCCATCGTGTTGCAACGGTCTTCTCGGCATTCAATCCGTCCGCCGTGAACTCGCGGCCATCGGGATTCTTTCGCATCGTGAGCACGGAAGGCAAAGAGAACCGGCAGACGTTTGGACGGAAGCGAAGATGCTTTCCCGGCCGTTCCCCGAGCCGGAAGACGTGAGCGGTCCGTGACCGAGGGTCTCGTGATACTCGTGGCGCTGGGTGGGCTGGGCTCGGCTCGGCTCGGCCCGGCCCGGCTCGCCTCGGCGGGGCCGTCGAATGTCACAGTGTGTGGGCCGCCGGCGAGCGTTTGCCAGCGTAGCAGCAGATGGTTGCCATGGCAACCCTGGCCCACGCGTTCTACCAGGCATTCCCACTCAGTGAAACACCTTTTTTTTCCCCTGACAAGCTGAGGCTGCGCGCTCACTCACGCGCACACACACCAACGCGGTGGTTAAAGTGGCCTGTTTAAAGCTTTGGAGAGAGGAAAAAAAAAAAAAGCAAAAAAAGTGACACCTTGCGTGTACACCACATGTATTTTTCTATTTCGGCTTCCTCCCTTGCGCGCAGTGACTATTTGGGAGGAATCTGCTGCCGAGCGCACTCGGTTTCCATTCATTTGCGCGTCCGCACTCACCTCCTGACACCTGTTACGTAACTCCGCCCCCTCCCGCCCTCCGGCAGCTCGCGTGCTTCGCGCCGTTCCGCAACGGGCACGACGAGCACAAGTTGGCGAGAAACGGCCCGAGAGAGCTCATTTTGGCCACGTTGCGGGTTTTATTGTTTTCCTGGTTGGATCGGTCTCCTCCTCGGGCTCCCGAGCGCGCGCGCGCGCGTGCGTGTGAGACGTTCAGGGAGCACGACCCCGCGCTCCTTGCTGACGTCAGATGCGACTGCTCCCGCCCACGCAAGCGCGCGCACGCCACAAGTGGGAAGTACGAATACTTTGGATCTGGACTTCAGTATCGATTTTGCAGGCATCCGTGCTTTACTACCGTATTGGTTTTTCCAAATACCCCCCCATTAGAAACAAGAATGCATACCGGTGGCGTTTTTTTAGGGGGGCCAAGTTCCTCGTGTTCAAAAATTCTCGTCTGAAAAGTGGATTTTGCCTTTGGGTTTGAAACATCGATACAGATGATTTTGTTTTCTCAATCACTTTCCAGGGAGCTCATTTTTCCGTCTCAAGTGCAAATATAATAAAAGTGAATCAAAGAAGGAGGCCATTTTTTTCTTGGGTGCCCGGTGATCTAAAACAGACACTCTCTGTCAATCATAGAAAAAAAATGATGTTTCATTTTCGCACTTGAGCACATTTCAGAGCAGAGACGGCGGAACCAGGGCGACGCTCCGCTCTGATTGGCAGCCGATCAAGTCGACTGCAAAAATGCGCCGCCTTGCGCACGTCTGCAAGAATACCGACGTGACATTTCCCATCCGCTTGGCACCAAAGAAAGAGCCTCCTGTGAACTTTTCCGCCAGAGTATGGGCCGAGCGCCTTTTCCCTTGGAAAGAAGACTCGGCAGTACCTTGCGCCGCCACCCTTCGGCCCCGGCAAACTCAAAAGCCGTCCGGCGACGAGCGGCTTCTCGGACAACCCGAGCCGGCAAAGCCAACGGGAAAACCACGTTCCATCCGCTACACCAACAACCTTCCCCGCTCGCAATCACACGCAGCGTTCCGTGATCCTGCCGCGCATATTGCAGGGAATGCGCCAGGACAGCGGAGGACGGGCGCAAAAAGCCAGGCGGCCACGGGGACGACATCCCAACTCCACGCAGGGAGGCCGAAGCCGCGAGCTCCGCACCGCGCCTCGGACGTCGCCGCTGAACAAGTTGTTACCGAGAACCCGTTTGGTTTCCCAATCGGCAAAGAGCCAACTCGGAGCCGCGTCGCCACGTTACGACGTCATCGCACAGCGTCCAAACGTCACGGCTTACGTCGACGTTGACCCAAGGGCGCCTGCGCCATTAATAATAAGAAGAATCGTAACGCGCCGTTAGCATCTGCTCGGCAACTTAGCATAGCATCGATCATTCTTGTCTATAACAGTCCATCAGCAAAGCCTTGTATCTTTCTCGAACCTTGACGATGATGACGAGGCTGGCGGCCAGTCGGAGATGGCACGCTCGCCGGGCACGTCCGCCGTCGCTCTTCCGGTGGGACGCGATCGTTCACCGCTCGACGGTCGGTGCAAAACTTGCGCGCGTCCGGCGAGTCGTTCCGGCACGATCGCGGCGCCCGCCACCTCCAGAGCTCGAGTCCGGCCCAACAAATCATCGGGGCCGGCTGAAGCACCCGATCCAAGCACCCGGGCGGGAGCCCGTTTCGCTGACGGAAAAAGGCAAAAGGAGTGGCGCCAACCCGGTTACGGGCACGAGCACAAGCGGGGTGAGGAAGGGCCACCAAAGGAACCACTTCACCGCTCGCGTCCACCGTTCAGAGTCGATTGTCTCCGTAGGGCGGATCGTGTTAGCTTGGCATTTCCCGGTGGGCTTTGCTTTCATTTTCTTGTTGATGGTTCCGGCAGCGCGTTGCGGACAAATCTTTGAGGAGCACTTGGACAGAAGGGAACATTTTGGGATGGCCTCCTTCCCCGTGTCTTTCAGTCGGCGCCCAACCGACAGGAAGCTGACGTTTGAGCGGCCATCGAGCTCGACTGTGTCGTTCAAAGTGAGCGTGTTTGGGTTTTACGGTCACGGATGAAGTTTGACGACCGTTGCTTCACAAAGTGACGTAAAACTGATGAGAAAAAAAGCAAAAACAGTTTGACAACCGCCTGCGACGCGTCTGCGTGACCATGGCGACGGCTAAATTTAGCCAGATGACAAATGGGACCGACCGCTATAAGTGTCCAACAGGGGCGGTGAGTGCTGGGGCGGTCCTGAGCCTGAGAGAGGGGGTGGGGGAGGGGC